GGTCTCGAACTCCTGGGCTCAAGTGATTTTCCCACCTTGGCCTCTCAAAGTGCTGGGATTACAGGTATAAGCCACTGTACCTGGCCAAAAATTTTATGTTTATTGAAGTTCGTTTTTAGACTTATTCAGACATTTACACTGATCATTAACACTCCTGTGCATATTTTTTTAAATAAAAAGGAACATTTCCTAAAATGTTTTACCATAATCTGTGTCTATTCTATTGATTTATTTTCCTCACATAAAATGTCTGTGGTGCAGCCTTTTTTAATAGACATCTGTAACTGGACCTGGCATTTTCTAAGCCATTTTGCAAATTTTGAAGCATGTTTGCAGGCAATGACCATGTCACAGTGACTGTTTGGCTGATTAACTGTACAGTACGTCTCAAAGATGTAAGATGTAACAAGTATCTTCAGATAGATGGGGTGTGTCTCTGCTTGTCTTCTCTGTCCTCACCCCTGAGACACTAGAACTCTCACCTGGGCATCAGTGAGAGGCATTGCCCTGCCATTGGGCTCCAGACTCTTCCCAGGGCAGGCCACCCACTACCCAGCTTGCTGGAAGGACTTTTCCAGAGATGAGGCTAGACTGGTCACTCTCCCACCTATAGCTCTTCAGGGATCCCATGGATGGAACTGACAGGCTGACGATCCGTATGCACAGTTCGGTGGAGAGAATGAAGGCAATGGCTAAAATGTTAATAACCCGATGGAAGAAATGATCACTCATTTTCAGTCACTTGGGTTGATAATGTTGTCTGTGACTTTTTAAGTCAGGGATCCTCACAAGTTCCTAGACCCTCAGGAAAGCAAAAAGTTCCTATGGAGAAAGACTAGGCCCTGCTTCCTTGTCCTACCATTATTATTGATATTTCTCCAAGAAAAAGTGTTTGTGAAGGAGTTGAGAGACAGAAAGACCCAAGTATTAATCCCACCTCTGCAACTCTGAGCAAATTATATCGCCTCAGAGGACCGCAGTTTCCTAGTGAAAAAAAATCCTCCTCTCGGTTGTGGGTTTTGGGGTGTTTTTGTTTTTATAACACGTAGACTTCCCCTCACAGTGGCTGGTGTATTAGATGTCAGTAGATATTAATTGTATTTTCCCCACCTTCTTTGTCTTTTAAAAACAGCTTTCCATCAGATTCTGAGAAAAACCATTAAAATTAATGAACAAATAAGAATTTTTGGATTATTTATGGTTTTCCATAATCTATACTTTTCATTCATTCATTCATTCATTCATTCATTCATTCTTGCTCTGTTGCCCAGGCTGGAGTGCAGTGGCACACTCTTGGCTCACTGCAACCTTCGCCTCCCCGGTTCAAGCAATTCTCTGTCTCAGCTTCCCAAGTAGCTGGGATTACAGGTGCCTGCCACCCCCTCCCCTGGCTAATTTTTTGTATTTTTAGTAGAGATGGGGTTTCACCATCTTGGCTAGGCTGGCTTTGAACTCCTGACCTTGTGATCCACCTGCCTTCGCCTCCCAAAGTGCAGGGATTTACAGGCGTGAGCCACCACGCCTAGCAATAATCTATACTCTTAAGTGTTCTTATTTTTCCACCTTTTTATTTTGTGAATGAGGAGTTAATCTTCTCTCCCAAAAGCCAGACTCTATTTTCATATTACATACCATATTATTACTGAACATACAGGAAACAGGATCATACCTAGACGAATATATAAGGCAAAATTTGGATTCCCAGGTTTGGGGCAACTTGAGTTGGAATTAATGAAGACTGCTTTCGATGTAATCTGCCAGATTCTTTCACTTTTTAAGGTCTGATTATTGCTTCTAGACACCTTTCAGGTCTGACCGTCAGCCCCCTACTTTTGTCTTTGTTTTCAGATCAGTGATTTGAAGCATTTGTTTTTACATCAGACTGTCTACGTTTAAAATCTGACCTCCACCAAATATTTAGGTGTGTTAACCTGGGAAAGTTGCTTAATGTCTGTAAGCTTCAGGTTCCTGATCTGTAAGAAGTGATGGGGATCCCCCACCTCACCCAAGTGTTGCACATAAGTATTTAAAGCACTTAGTTTGGACTTGTCTGTAAATGGAATGCATTCCATCATGGTGGCTGTGGTTAAAAATTTTCTAAAGGCATGACTGTGATGTTTTGCTGGTGATTTTGGTATCTGCAATTCTGTTCTTCCTTGATGTTCTTTAGTTTCTAATTTTTTCTCTCAGACTACACCTTTTAATTTTAATGATGATGATTTGCTGCCACCTACGGGCTAATGTGGAAAGAGCAGAACATGTAATTCCCAACTTTCTTAGATGCTGAATATAAAATCTTCAGGTCATCCTGGCAGATTTGAAGGCACCTGGACAACCAGCCATCTTCTTTTCTGGGAGATTTGTTTTCCTCGATAGCCCAGCTGCATACTTGAACAGAACCAGATTCCCCTTGGATTATTTTTGGAATTGCGCAGTATACGTAAAGCATTGTTAGCAATCAAATACTGTAATTTCCCCCTTGTTTGAGTAGATTTGCAAAATATAATGTGTATCAAAAAAGCATGAAAGAATCTTTGCTATTTAAGGCATGGTTTGGTACCTGAGTTTTGTTTGTTTTATTTTGGAGATCTCTTCTAGTTGGAGAACTTGGGAGTTCTGTACAAAACATTAAAAATAAAATAATGTTTACAGGCATCTCTGTTATGATTCCTACTGTGTTGCCTTATGTGATTGTTACTTGAATGCTTGACTCCCAGTTTCAATCTCATACTCCTTTCTTCACATAATCTGACATAGAGGATACAGGCACACACAGATCCTGGGAAATGGCAGTACTGGGAAATGTACTAGTACTGACAGTACTTCGTACAGCACCTTGTTCACAGTATGATTTGGCAGGAGTTGGAGTAAGAGGTGCCAATGCCAGATAGCAGGAGACGGGTCCAATAAGGGCTGTGTGCCAACCACAGGGGTTGAACTTTGCTTTGAAAACAGTTAGGAACCACCAAAGGATTTTAAGCTGAAGAGTGACACAATCAGATTTCTATTCTAGAAATATTATTTGGGCATTCCGTTCACAGATATTTTAGAGGAAGACCTAAGGAAGCAATTATGTATTGAGCTTTTCTACCTACTGATTGTACCTATTAAATATTGTATATGCAGTCAAGAGCTTATTCATTTATTTTTGCCAGTCCGATTTGTGGTTTTTGAATTATTTTATTTGTGTTACTTTAATGCCTTTAACAGTTTTGTACTTCATTTCAGGTAGGCACTATTTTGGTGCTGCCATGCTGGTGATGGCGATTATTACAATTATTAACTACTGCTAATCAGCGAGTGTTCAATAGACCTTGTACCAAGTGCCTTTGTAACTTGTACACCATGTAAATAAGCATCATCTCATTGATTCCTGTAATTCTCTAATGTTTGCTGTGACACTGGCTGCTTGTTCCACAGTGTGGTTACTCTCCTTCCCTTTTCTTCTGTGTCTGCTCCCTGGCACCTCACGTTGGGCAGGATGCCATATTGCTGCTATGATTGAATTGGCACTTCTCAGAAATGGTCCTGGGGGGTAGCAGGGAACAACCGTAGTGGCTGTGATGCACACTGGCAGGAAGAGCAGGCAGAGGAGTAAACCTTTCCCTGATTTCTTTGCCAAAAAAAAAAAAAAAAAAAAAAAAAAAAATCTGTTGCCAGAGAAGACTCTGCAATCCCAAACCTGTGAACTGAACGGAAGCCTAGGGTAAGGCAGCTGAGGCCAGTAAGGGGGTGACAACAAGCTTAGTCACCAAATAATATGCGAATACAATATTTTTAAATTAATGTAAAAGAAAATCATGAGTCAAATTATGCAATTTTAAATAAAGATGAGATTAGCAATGGTGTTGTTCATGCAGAGCCAGGTTGGAGTCTGAGTCAGAAGGAAATACCAGCAATACTAATCCTTCCAGTTAAAATTTTGGAATTTTGTTCATCATGGGTTCTTTGAATTTGGTTTTTAAAAAATATTACATTAAGATATTTATATTGGGTATTTTAGTGGCTTCTTCAATTTTGCACCCAGGATTGGGGTGCCTTTCTGGCCTCATCTTAGCCTGTGGGTGAGGGTTGGGCAGGAAAAGAGAGGGGATCTAATGGGTAGCTGCCTCCAGGCACTCTCCAGTCATTCTTCCTGATAGGCTCTGCTCCTCGGGGAATGGGTGCGGCGTGATTGGTCTTCAGTAGTGTGGAATGTCTCTATGTGGCTGTTGGTCATGTCTCTGAACATGTATCTTAGTACTCTTTTATAAGGGTATCTGGATGAGATATATGGTTCCTTTGTTTTTTGTTGTTGTTGTTGTTGTTGTTTAAAGCTATAAAGAAGTGGCAGTGCCTCATGCCCGTAATCCAAGAACTTGAGGCAGGAGGCTGAGGCAGGAGCATGGCTTGAAGCCAGGAGTTCAAGACCAGCCTTGGCAACATAGCAAGACCCTGTCTCTACCTCTTAAAAAACGCAAACAACCAGCAAAAACAAAACACCCAAAACTACAAGAAGGTGTTTTCTACCTCCACTAATGGAAAGAAACAGAATAAAATTGACTTAGGACATTTAGTTCTTGCAGTGGTTACTCCTTTACTGAGCTCAATGAAGTGTTGGCTTTGATTACCACAGCAAGCTGAAGAGATGTGCAAACTCCTGCCTTGGGTTAGTGGGAAGGGGCTAAAATCTTTAATCTAATTTATAATGATTTACTTGTGCAGCCATTTAAAGCATTTGCAAGATCTCATTTCGGGCCCTTCTCTCTTCTGCTGTAACTATATTGTGAATGCTATATTTTCTAAATTCATAATTTGGCAGAGTCTACTTGGTGGTTTCTGGTGGTTGGTTCAGATTTTCTTTTGTCCTTTGCTGAGAGAGTTAGGTCATTTGAATGTCCAGAGAAAAGATACGTAGATCTGCTGTTATTGGCTTTATTCTGGCTGGGACAGTGGAGGAGCTTAAAGGAGGATTTTACTTAGATTTTGCACTTTAAAAAATTGTTTAAATCCCCAACCAGGTCTGCTGAGAACAGACGCAGTCCCTGAGGAAGGAGAAGATGTTGCTGCCACGATCAGTGCCACAGAGACCCTATCAGAAGAGGAGCGGGAAGAACTAAGAAGAGAACTTGCAAAGGTAAAGAACCATTCCTTTTGCAACTTTATTTTTGCACTTAAAATGTACTGTCATTTATGTTTCTAAAGCACATGGTGCTATGTTTATAGTCAGTTCCAGGGGATAGAAAGCATGGGTGTTTACTTCTTCAACAGGTCTTGAGTAGGGGAGAGGTGATAGAAGAGGGTGACATCAGTTCGTTTTTATATGAGAAAAATGTATATATGGGTAAAATGGATGTGAAAAGTAGGGTGTGAAGCAGGAAATGAGTGAGAGTAGTAGGGAATGTCTTTTAAGGGATGTCACTCATGTCTGATACACTTGCTCTTCAGTGCGTCAATGACTTTGTTCCACCCTTGGTTGTGTTGCGGAGATGGGCACTTTCGAACTTTCTTCCTCTTTTCCCTCATTCTAGATCCCTCCTTCCCTCCCCTTTCATTTCTCCCTCCCCTCCTTCCTTTCCCGCTGTCCCTTCCCTGCCTTCCTTCCTTTTCCTCCCTCTTTTCCTTCCCCTGCCTCCCTTCCTTCCCTCTTTCCCTCCATTCCCCTCCCCCATTCCCCATCCCCCTTCCTCGCTTTTTTCTTTCCTAACTTCCTTTCTTCCATGAAATTCGTTGAACATAAAAAGTAACCATTTTACTTTATTATTTTTATTTTATTTTTTGAGACAGACTCTCACTATGTCGCCCAGGCCGGAGTGCAGTAGCATAGTCTTGGCTCATTGCAACCTCTGCCTCCCAGGTTCAAGCAATTCTCCTGCCTCAGCCTCCTGAGTAGGTGAGATTACAGGCATGTGCCACCATGCCCAGGTAATTTTTGCGTTTTTAGTAGAGACAGGGTTCACCATGTTTGGCCAGGCTGGTTTCAAACTCCTGACCTTAAGTGATCCACTTGCCTTGGCCTCCCAAAGTGCTGGGATTACAGGAGTGAGCTACCTGGCCATTTTTTTCTTTCTTTCTTCCTCCCTTCCCTTTCCTTTTCCCTTCCTCTTCCCTTCCCTTTTGATCTTTTTAAAGAATGAACTTTTGCTTTTATTCATTCTCTCTGTTGTTTCCTATTGTCCATTTTATCTGCACTCTAATCCTTATTATTCCCATTCTTCTCTTAGCTTTGGGTGTGGTTTGCTATTTTAAAAATTTTTCTCTAATTCCTTAAAGTGTAGAGTTAATGTCATCTAAGAGTGATGCTGTAGGTTCTTCTTTTTTTTTTTCTTGGTAGCTGCATCACATTTGATTTATCCTTTTTTCAATTGCACTAATTTTGTGTCATGTTCTCTAAAAATTTAATTATCTGCGAAAACGTTTTACTGAGCAGTACTTACGTTATAAATAAAGGGCATGTTGTCTTTGAAATCATAGAAATACTGTGCAGGTCAGGCTGAAAATAGGGCTTTGCAACAAGTCAGGAGACACATTTCTCTGAGGATGTTGAATGTTAATGGATATACGTTAGGGACTAATTTTTCTGTTTCCTGGGACATGAAGTCTCTTCCACTTGTTGTCTATTTCTCTCTGAAATAGAGTCTGCCCTTTTCCCTGTTCCTGAAATAGAGAGTCCACCTGTTTTTCTGGATTAGCCTTTTGTTCTACACTGTTTGTTTTTTTCCTTTTCTTCCTAGCTTCTGCTTCCTCAAGTTTTAGCTTCCTCAAGCATATTTAAGCTTTCCATGACTAATCTCACTGTGCCCTACCTATACCTTAAGGCTTCTTCAAGTCTTTTCGGCTTTTACTCGAAAGGCCGTCTGATTTCTCAAACTAGATTCCTGAGAGAGAGAGACTGAGTAGTTGAGACCTCTTTTCACACCAGGCTCATCCACTGGCTCTCGGCCACTTGACGGGTGGCTGTCTGTGGGTCAGGGCCTACCTCTATCCACCTAGCCCAGTCTGGAAAGTCAGCATCAAGGAGTTCACGTGAAACCGTGGCAGGGCTCTCTAGAGGAGGCAGTTTGATTTATTATGGCCATGACTTTGGCAGACATGGGGACTGAGTATATGTATCCAGTATATATAGACTAGTATCAGATATGCAAGGAGGTTGGATTTGAGTTTGGCTTGGTTGTGTGTGTTTTGGTAGGGGTGGAGATTGTTTTGATTTAGTACACAAATACAAGTTTTGTAGGCATTCAAATAGAAACGTCTGGGTTGGATAAGCAGAACCAGAGGTCGGGAGAGTGGCTGTTAGAGTACTTTATCAAGTATTATCTGTGTAGACATTTTGAATCCTAAACCTACATGAGATAGCTGAGTAAGGAAGCATAAGGAGAGAAGAGAAGACCCAAAACAACTTAAGTTGGGATTATAAAGCGCTCCCATGGAAGAGGAGAGAGAAGCATTGCAGGAGAGATCAGCAAGTAACCAGTCTACTCCACAACATTCTACGTTGTTTTTAGAGAGAAAGATAAATGATTCAAAAAAATTTTAATGACTAGAATTTTGGGTGTAGTTCTGTGCTAGTAATCTTAATTTACTGGATGACTTTTGCTTATTCCTACCCCAAAACCCTTCCTCATAGGTAGAAGAAGAAATCCAGACCCTGTCTCAAGTGTTAGCAGCAAAAGAGAAGCATCTAGCAGAGATCAAGCGGAAACTTGGAATCAATTCACTACAGGAGCTAAAACAGAACATTGCCAAAGGGTGGCAAGACGTGACAGCAACATCTGCGTATGTTCCCTCGATCATACCCTTTCCTTGGGAATATAAGGGACACTGTTGTGCCTTTTGTCTCAGGAGGGGAAGAAAAAGAGGATGAGGATGCTTCACCAACTTTTCTTAGGATGACATGGGGCACTTTTTTTCTAATTTTCAAGCATATCTGCCTCTTTTGTAACTTTGATTTTTTTCCAGACCATTTATTCTAAGGAATAGAAAGAAAGCTAGCCAGCTGGAGAAATCAAATTCAAGTTCCATTAAGTGTTATGTATTGATGTGCCACAAATATGTACATTGTGTCCTTTTTCCTCAGAATAACCCAGTAAAAGTGGGTGGTGAGATAACCCTGGATAAGGAAACAGGCTCAGACAAATTAAGTTTTCAGGTCAAAATGTGGAGTGGGGAGTCAAATTCAGGCCTGGAGCCAGTCTTTATTATTTATTTATTTATTTATTTATTTATTTATTTATTTTAACCTTGTTCTGAATGTATCATAAGATTCTCAGGTCATAGTCTCAGATATGTACTCTTGGCAGAGGTCAATCTCTTAACTTTTTGTCTTTTTGACCACACATACTATGATACAGCATTATCATAATGCAGTTTTGTTTGCCGGCACAAGGAGGAGCAAGCTTCTAGCAGCAGAATCTGAACCACTCTGTCTTCTGTATGGAGTGCCATCTGCAGAGCTGGTGAGCTTAGAATTTGTTTTACAGTGTAACCATCAGCAGTGAGGCCAACTGCAGTCGACACGACAGTACTTGAATGCCCAATCTTTTGGTCTGTTTTCTATCCATCTAAGTTGGCAGTAGGAAAACATACAGGAACCTATTTTTTTTTTGACAGCATTACCATAAACCATGTTTTTTATTGGTATTTGATCTTGACAGGGTAAGTAAAAATGCCTGCACATTCTTTCCCATAATGTGGGGATTGTTAGGGTAGGCACAAGATTATTTTTTTTGTTGTTCTTGTTTTCATCATTTTTTTTGTTTTTGCTTTTCCTTTCTCTAATCTCCAGGTAGCGGGGAAGGAGGTAATAAATTATACCTTTGCATTACAGCAGATATCACGCTAGAATAACTTTCAGCATTGCATATTTTACATACTTTATTGAATGTACAGCAAGTCCTTATTTGGTAGCTCTAAAGACATGCAAAATTTTTAAATAAAGGATACCCACAAAATGTATTTGGATAATAAAATACACATGGGTCCTACTTATCCCAGCTACTTCTTGCTTCTGGCCCTTCTTTAGGAAATCAAGTTGACAAAGGCATCTGAGGAATTGGATTTCATTTTTGTTTTCTTTGGATTATGTGAGAAAAGAACAAGAGGTCTGAGTTCTTTCAGGCCCTGGCTTATTTTCATCTTTGTTTGATGATTATTTTTAGTCCTTACCTTGACTTCTTTGGCCCTGCCTTTAGAGGCCTCTGTCTTTCTGGCTGGACTAGGGCACTGCAGAAGATTGTGCCTGAAATGAGGGTTGAGTGTATGAAGATGTGGTGATGCTGCCCTAGTGGTTATGAAGGATTTTAGAAGTTCTGAAACATGTTTCCTCTTTTTGAGAGTTCTCCAGCAGATGGTGACCACTGCACTTGAAACAATTGATATTAGAAAACATCAGCTGACTTGTCTTTGCTCTGTGTGTTTGTAATTTAATATAGTTACAAGAAGACATCTGAAACCTTGTCCCAGGCTGGACAGAAGGCCTCAGCTGCTTTTTCTTCTGTTGGCTCAGTCATCACCAAAAAGCTGGAAGACGTAAAGTATGTCCTCATTTTTTCTTGCTCATTAAGTAGCTGACGCAAATTAAAATGTTACTGTGGCTGCATCTGTATCCTGATCTTGCCTCTAGTTGATGCTAGCTACTTCTGTTAGAGTGAGGGAGGGCACTCCTTCAAACAAGTACCTGGAAGGCTCAAACCAGTATCTAGGTCTTCTAGGCCTAGCATTCTAACATCGGATAATCATCATTTAAGGTTGTCGAAAAATTCTGGTTGTGAACTTCTGTGTCTTTTTAATTCTTCAGGCTCATGCAGGGTAAGTATGTCTTGGGTGCAAATTTGTGATTGTGGACAGAGCCTGGTGTCTTACTGGGGATGACTACAGGAGCATTGAAGTGCACGCTTCGATTGAGACCTGGCTTCATGTTCTGTATGTGACATTTTACACCATGGTGTGATTACAACATGCTCATCCTTGCACTGATTTATACTAACCTGTAAGCTGTAACTACATTCATGCTTAGGCCAAACTTGATTTTGAGTTTTTGTTTGTTTATTTGTACTTTAGATTAGTCTGCAGAGTTTTCCTTGCCATTTTGATAAAGCCACTTCATAGTGCTTTTGTGCTCCCCTTCACTCATGTGGATTAGAACAATGATGAAAGTGACAAATGTAGTTTAAGTCAGCTGTGCTTCTGTTGGCATGCAAGATTTGTGTTTAAAAAAAAAAATGCTTAGATTGCATGGCTTTGTGTTTTGCATTTGTGGGGAAAGTCTATTTTACAACCAGAATTTGTTGGTTGAATAGGTTTGGTCAATTTATATATTATACTTGATACCAAAAGAACTAAATTCCTCTCATTATATTTAGATTGTCATCATCTAAGCATAACGTAATAAATATAGCTTTCTTGAACTCTTTTGACATTTATGTATACATCTATTAGGTGTTCATTTTCTGTATGCTGACTGAATTGTGTAGCAATTTAGGGCCCAGGAAAAACATTATACGTTTAAAATTTAGGTTATGTAATTGTTTTAGATTTATCGGAACTTCCTTTCTTTTTTAATGCTTACTCTGGCTTTTTACAGATTGCAAGCCTTTTCACATTCCTTTAGGTAAGGAGAGTTTGAACCATCACTGCAGTCTAGCAGTTGTATAAGAAGTGTGCTGAGATTAGATTATATGCTACATTGGGTGATCATGTTTGTCCAGTACATAATTTTCTTGCGTTTGGAGTATCTTTTTCTCTAGTGCATTCCTAATTTCAAGGGAGAGTTTCTTGTATACCATGGGTAACTGATAAATTAAAAGAAGTATTTGACACTGTGGTTCAAGGGATGTGGAAATAATTTTGACATTTCTTTTTTACTTTTTTCTTTGGTTAAAAAGAAGCAGCTTTACCATGGCATGCAAAATTCCTCCCTTTTAATGTCTAACTTTGTTTGTTTTTGATGCTTTTGTTTCTTTGGTGCTTTTGTAAGGATGTTGGAATTCTTCTTCACCTGGGTTTAATTACGCAATTGTAATAGACTGCATATGAACTGCCTCCTGATGTTAGTCTTCTGTCTTCTATGGGTTACTCTACTTTTTTTTTATTGTGGTAAAATATACATAAGGTAAAATCTATCACTACTCTGCCCTTTTTAATACTGGTTTTAGCTTGTAGTTTTTACTATTTTATTATTTCTTTACACTTGTTATACTCTTTATGTACACAAGGCAACTTCATGGTTTGAAAAAGGAGAAAGTATATTAAGGTAGAAAAAGCGCATTAAAAAGATATTAGCTCAAAGCATGCCTTATAGATAGATAGAGACTTCTTTATGTTGAGCAAAGCTCTCTCTTTCCCAGGCAGACTCTCTGATTCTCTAATTAGTTGTTGGAGGAAACTAAGGTGGAGGAAAATCTTTAGAGTGTATGCAGGAAGGATAATATAGTAGTCTTCATCTCTATTCCTATTGATGTAGATTATTTTCTTAAATAATCACTAGCGGTAGTCTAGCTACTTGCTTTTTTAAGTAAGCCAACAGGTACTTACAGCTGCTGTCTTGGTGACACTTATCCCTGGAAGTCAGAGTAAATCATAGGGATATATAAACTCTAAATGTTGAACTATTTAAAGCTAAAATTATGTTTAAATATATCAAGTAACCAATGATAGGTAATTGTATATCGTTGGCATTCAATTAAAAAGTGCTGTTAAGTAGCTGAATACAGAGCCAGTCACATCATCCATTCTGCTGACATTAGAGTGTCTACTGTGGACAGATCCTATGAGCATAACCATAAAGAAGACATGGCTTTTATTAGAATCAAGCTTAAAATCTTAGTGTGGAGTAAGGGAAGAATGAGGACTTGGGATAAGTTAAGAATGGAGGCTGGGCGTGGTGGCTTACACCTGTAATTCCAGCACTTTGGGAGGCCAAGGCAGGCAGATCACAAGGTCAGGAGATCAAGACCATCCTGGCCAACATGGTGAAAACCCTGTCTCTACTGAAATACAAAAAATTAGCTGGATGTGGTGGCGTGTGCCTGTAATCCCAGCTACTTGGGAGGCTGAGACAGGGAATCGCTTGAACCTGGGAGGCAGAGGTTGCAGTGACCTCAGATCACACCACTGCATTCCAGCCTGGCAACAGAGCAAGAGTCTGTCTCAAAAAAATAAATAAATAAAAGGAATAAAAGAGCCTCATCAGTATTGGTTATAAAATCTAGATGTGATACAAACATCAACATAAGATAAAAAAGTAAGGGCTATTGAGGATGATGTTTCTTCAGTGTATATCACTAGACATTTCTATACCTTCAAAGAATACCTTTCTATACCTTAAAGCCATACCTAGGTATGGCCCAGTGTGTGCTGTCTTATGAATTCATCAGCAATAAATTGCGTTTTGCAACTCTTTTCTAGCTCCTTTTATAGTCACTGTCCATTTGATTTAAAAAATAAAATTGAGATTATGCTGTACCATTTTCAGTCTTGTTTTTAATGAATATTAAGTTTTTATGAATACTTAATTGCCTATCAGTATGTGGAAGTTATAAGGCTTTTGACTAAAGTCTGGAGATGAAAAAAATGAGATTATCTTTTGAAAGTTAAACTTTGTAAATCTTGCAAATCAAAGGTTGGAAAAAGGCACTTTAAAAGATAATTTCAAGGCCAAGAAGTCCTGATTGTGTTCTGATTTAATGTGCTCATATATATAAAGAAAATTTACATCTTTTAGATTATGTGAGGTATATATTGGCCATGTTCCCCCAAAAGGCAAATATTGGCCATGTTCCCCCAAGAACTATCCAAAGAAAGGGAGCTTGGGCTGTAGAATTTGAGTGTTCCAATCCCAGCAGCAAGTCGTTTTCTCCCATGGAGATGGATGCAGGAGGCCCCTTTTGCTGAGTGCTCTGAAATAGTTGGTTAATCCCACCCAATATTTGTTCTGAGTCCATTTTACCTGGCAAATTTACATCAGTGATTTTACTCCCTGATGTAATTATGGATATAGAAGGAGAAAATGCACCAGTTTTGTCAACCTGAATGTATTAGACTCAGCAACAGTTTTTATTTTACACAGCTGATAAATCAGCACTTGGGATTTAGGTATTTGTCTTATGCCTTGGTTGGGGAAATAAGATGCGTAAGGAAACAGAGAGCGGGCTGCTTTTGATGTCCTGAGAATGAGGTGTGGTAGTAGCAAGGCCAAGGAGGACGTGGTCATGAGTGCTGTCCTAGTAGGCCCTCTGGGGAAGCCCACTTTTCCCTCATGTGGTATGCTTGTATTTCCCTTCCTGTTTCCATATTTTCTATGCTTACGTGAAGTATAATATAGATATTAATTCATGTTTCAATTACAGTCATGTGTTATAATAACAATTATTAACGTTTATAAGCCCAGCAAGAACACAGTACCCCAGAAGTAGGTGCTGTTATTGTTTTGATATTACAGATGAGGAAACTGAGCCATAGAGAGATTAAGTGACTTCCCCAGGGTTGCACAGTAGGTGTTAAGTGGCTGATCATCAGGACTGGAACCAAGCATGCCTAGTCCTGGAGCCTGCACTGTCCTCCTGGGCCTCCCCAGAGCAGTGGTGGTTTAAGACATTGCCCCTCTGGACATTGTTCAGCAGTTACTTTGGACAGTAGCTGCTGTGATCACTGACATCAAGAGATCATGTGAGGGCAAAGTGGAATAATATTACATTGATAGCTCTGAAAAGCGTGCATGGTACATAGTAAGCATTCCAACACATTAGCCATGACCTCTCCCTTCTCCTTCTCCCCTGCTGCTACTTCCTTCTCCTCCCTCTACCCCCTCCCCTCTTATTAGTATTAGGGATGAAAGGATCAGATAACTATGTTAGAAACAAGGACTTTAAAAAATTTTTTTGTAAATTATTTCTTCCTTGATGATTTAATGGGACTGTCTTCAAACCAGTACAGATATTTCATACATAATATCTTTTCTAACCAATTGAATGATTTGGCCATTTTCTAATAAATGGCGATTTTCTAACCAATTGAATAATTTGTTGCAAGGACACCACACTTCTACTGAATGAAGAGAAACATTTTTATAGTCCAGAGGTCTTTTATTAACACATATTATGCCATGAATTAATAGGGAATGGGTTCCAGCAGCTCAGGCTCCTTCCCATTGGTTCTCACAGTGTGCTGCTCTTCTCTGGGTGCAGCAGGCTGGCGCTTCAGTTGAACCCAAGTGCCTTTCTCTTTGGCTTCTTTCTTTTTCTGATCATTTTCCTTAGTGTGAGAAACAAGGATTTTTAAAAATGCCATTTAGCTGTTTTAATAAAATGACTTTTTCAAAGTAAGAGTAATGCAGTATGAGATTGGAAAGTAGTTAGTAAGAATCAGCTTATCCTGATTTTTTTTGTGTGTTTCACTGAAACATATTTAGTAGGTGTGTGCTGGGTAAAGTGGTATAGAGCCCAGCCAGTCCACTGCTGGAGAAAGTGATATAAGTGGCATACAGCCCAGCCAGTCCACTGCTGGAGAAAGTGATATAAGTGGCATACAGCCCAGCCAGTCCATTCTGGAGAAAGTGATATAAGTGGCATACAGCCCAGTGGATAAAGTGATATAAGTGGCATAGAGCTCAGCCACTCCACTCTGGAGAAAGTGATATAAGTGGCATACAGCCCAGCCAGTCCATTCTGGAGAAAGTGATATAAGTGGCATACAGCCCAGCCAGTCCATTCTGGAGAAAGTGATATAAGTGGCATACAGCCCAGTGGATAAAGTGATATAAGTGGCATAGAGCCCAGCCAGTCCACTCTGGAGAAAGTGATGTAAGTGGTATAGAGCCCCACCAGTCCACTCTGGAGAAAGTGATGTAAGTGGTATAGAGCCCAGTGAGTCCACTCTGGAGAAAGTGATATTTTACAGGGGTTCTTAGGGACAGTGACTAGACTTAGCTGTGAAATTCTGAAATTTGCACTATGCTATGCACCGGTTTCCTCATTTTGTTGATACTATCAAATTTAATGTGTAGGTCCCATGGACAAGGAATTTATCACATATTTGGCGATTACTCATCTTTTTTTGGCAGTTTCTGCCAAAATGAATGTTCTAATGAAGAGTTTTGATTATAGGAACAAAACCAAGAAAGCTACTCCTCTCCCATCATGCTGGATTCCCTGCGTGATCACCTCTCCTGACCTCATTTTCTCTACCTCTCTCTGCTTAGATTCAATTATTTCTTTGGGAACTGGTTTCCTCTGCATGCTCTCAGCTTTCACCTGGTCCCCCAGAACCTCTTCAACGTCTAAGTGTCCAGCAGGCTTAGTGTCTTGATTACAACATGCTAGGATAAGAGTCTTAATTGTCTTCACCTCTTCATTTTTTCATACCTTCCAAGCAATTTGTAGGCCACTGGGAGGTTAGCGGTTCTCCACTGATCAAGTTATCATATTGGTAATGGTAGAAGGTGGTTTGTGGCAATGTGACTATTCCAGACAGCTTCAGCAGAAGGGCCTGAGGAAGGACAGGTGATACTTAGACTTCTTGTTTTGTAAATTTAGGGATTGGGATCAATACACTTTGAAAGATCCAAGTACAAAAAGAAAAATCAAATTCCTCCCAGAATAGATTATTATTGTCTTATACCCTGTGTATTGACCACCATTGTAAGCTAGAGAGAATGCTGAGTTACATGCATCTTTTTCTGTTACGTAAGACATCAAGTACAAAGATGTTTAAATATTTCATTGATAATTTTGATTAGACAGATTGCCAGCATGTATATCACAGTCATTGTCCATGAAAAACTAGATGAGGAGCTATACTGAAGACATGTTATCATTTGTAACAAATATTCTTTAAGAAAAGAAAATCATAAGCACACAAAATATTTAAATATAACTGAGAATTAATACCTTGAACCTATACAGGAAAGTTTATTTACCAAAGTCGTGCCAGTGGTCAAACTATTATAGTATGATAGTAACAGTATCAGCAGAATACAATCATTTTATGAGCCTAGGAATGAGGGCACTCTCATGAAGTGGTCTCGATTGGAGAAGGCTAAGAGTAGATAGTCTTGAACCTGGGTGGCCAGTGAACCACATTGTCCTTGAGTGGGCAGTTGCCTCCCTGTCTTACTAGAAGCCCTTCCCTGGCCTTGCTTGTGTGTGTGTGTATGTGTGTGTGTGCACGCTTCATTTTTGAGGGGAGGTGATAAACATTGAATTAAGACCCAAGTTCTATTTTGATTCTGCTGTGACCTAGGGTAATTTAACTTCTATATGTCTTACAGCTGTAGGTGAAAGCACTTTAGTTTTCAAAGTGCTGTAAAAATCCAAGGTGATATTGTTAGCTCTAGTAACTCCTGGAAATTAATTGGTTCCTGAATAAAAGTAAATTATGTTGGAATAACTTTGATCCCCTCCACCTCAAAAAGTAGGTAATTCTTCCTGGCGCCAAAAGAATAAAGGTCCTGGGAAGCTAAGTTTTGTCAGCTTTTAATAATGTCGAAGCACCACTATACTAACCTTATTTCTATCTCTTTTTAATGCTGCCTCTTAGTATACGCTCCATTCAGCATTCAATTAGCATGCCTGCTATGAGGTAAAGTATGTTTTTATGAAATGTAGTTGGTCTTATGCTTTATTTTTTTAAAATTTAGGTGTTTAACTTGAACTGTTGTGAATTAGGAAACTAGAATTCCCCTTGAATCAAGCTGTGTTTAACACTATATCAGTTTTCAGCTACACTTTCTCTGATGTTGGGATGAGTACAAGAGATCCATGAAATGTTTTTATTTTGTTTTTGAAAAAAGAATGATTTATGTTTTATTTTGTAAACCTTTGTTTCCTGTCTGAAATCTGTTTACTTCACAAAGGGAGCAGTGCTTGTTAACAAACCTTCTCTTGTCCCGGCACCTCTGTCTGCATTCGCGTTATACTGTCCTTTTCTCCATCCTTCCCATTTTGTGACATTTGGAGCCAACTATGATTTAATTCTACTATCTGCTTTCACTAGCACTTGCAAATCATATTACCTCACCTAACGTCTCTAGAGAGATAGGGGATTTTTAACTATCTGTGCTTGGCTTAAACTTCAGTGTCCCTCAGAACCACTTGGAGTGCTCGTGAAACCCCTGCATGCTGGGCCCTGCCTCTAGAGTCTCTGATCCTGTAGAGTTGGGGTGGGACCTGAAAATTGGCATTGCTCATGACTTCCTGATAGCTGCCATAGCAGCTGGTTTGGGGACACACCTGGAGAGCTGTTGTCTTAACTGCTCTGCCATCACTACCATGGGAAGGAAGAAACCTCTTTTCCCTTCTTTGCATTTTTCGACTTGGTAGTAGAAAGGATATTCAAGGTCAGTTGGATAGGATAATAGTGTTGGAAACCCTGTTTCCGAAGCGCCTTTGTGAGAGACAAAGGCACTATGATCCTCCTTAATTAATATGGATAGATGTGAATGTACATGGATGAATGAACGTCCTGTGGGCTCAGTGTGCTCTCCTCATCCTTTAGGGCAGCGTTGTGAAGTAGGCAAAGCTGTTTCTAGGCTCCTCCCCCTTCCTTTTGGTCCCTGCTTTCCCTGTCTATTATGCTGCTCCTTGATATTGAACCTCATAGGCTTGTGAATTTCACTTGGGTGATGTGTGTTCATGTAGAAATTCTACTAGGGAAGATGTGAATCAAAATAGGAGTTTTAGAGCATAGTACCTTAACCAAAATTAAACTGATCTAATGGTGGCATTTTCTTGTACCATGACAAGTTGGTTGGTGAAGTGACAGAATTGCTATTTTACCCGGCTTTGTTCCCTCTCCTTACACACATACTTGACTATATCTATATTACTTATGTCTGAGACTGGCCCTATTCATGGAATCAAATGCATACTCTTAAAAATTAGATCAGAAATTTAGAATCCTACAATATAAATACTTGTATGTACCTGCACATATATGATACAGATAATTATGTCTGTTGTTTTGCCGATTGAGAATAATGTTGAAGAGAAATATAATCAATGATGTTTTCAAATTAGTTGGATTTTTTTTTCAGTATTTGTAATTTTACTATTTTTCTTTTCTCTCTGTAGAAACTCCCCAACTTTCAAATCATTTGAAGAAAAGGTTGAAAACTTAAAGGCAAGTAGAGAGATGAACAGGGTCTTTTTGATACATTACCTGGTGTCTTAATTAACTTTGGTGTGGGTACATCATTTACATTAATATTTCTTTTTAAAAATGTCTAAAGAATGTAAAGAACTTTACTCTTTATGTTACTAGTAGACAGACATTTAAGGTGGTATGCACTTAATACCATTTTAGTGTATGCTGTCGCATGACAGCATGCCACACGCTGAAAGGAAATGTGGCATTTAAGAAATATGTGCTGCATTTTGCTTTATTCATTTCAAGTACCTTTGTAGTTGGACAAAATTTAATATAACTTTCTTGTCAACAATTATCAAGAATATAGGAAGCACAAGAAAGAAAACAAAAAAATTGGTCTTACCACTCAGACAGTGATATATGTATGTAGTATTATGCTGTTATGCTTTAAAAAAGAAGTGGCCATACATCATTATCATTTTCTTGTATCTGTAAGTATTCTCTTTCAATATTATGTGCAATGGCTGCTTGTATATTACCTATAATGGATATTGTTTGTTCAGTCCTCAATTGTTGGATATTATTATAATGATGCCATCATCATTTATGATTCACTGTTTTTCTTTTTTGATTTCTTCGATTTCAATGGAGATGAACATTTCTCCATAATAATTAGCTTTATTGATTTGTAAATTATATTATCTTCGAGATTATATTCAAAGCTGTAAAATTATCAACTCTTAGGATCACAAGCAATGTAAAAGCTTGCCTAGTTCCCATCTACTGCCCGACCCTCTACAGAGTTTCTATAAAACCCATATTTTCTTTTATTTTTTGAAGGTTTTTAAAAATATATATATATATATAATATATATTTTATTGCACTTTAGGTTCTGGGGTACGTGAAGAACATGCAGGATTGTTGGATATGTACATACATGGCAGTGTGGTTTGCTGCCTCCATCCCTCTGTCACCTATATCTGGCATTTCTCCCCATGTTCTCCCTCCCCAACCTCCCTACCCGCCGCTGTCTCTCCCCTTCCCCCCCCCAACAGACCCCAGTGTGTGATGATCTCCTCCCTGTGTCCATGTGTTCTCATTGCTCAACACCCACCCATGAGTGAGAACATGTGGTGTTTGATTTCCTGTTCCTGTGTCAGTTTGCTGAGAATGATGGTTTCCAGATTCATCCATGTCCCTAACAAATGACACAAACTGCGTAGTATACCATGGTACATATGTGCCACATTTTCCTTGTCCAGTGTGTCATCGATGGGCATTTGATACAAACCTGTATTTTTATTACTCCCTAACTCTGATAATTATGGGGAAATATTTTAAGGATTAAAACTAGTATCTTAAGTGGTTTTTTTTTTTTTTTTTTTTTTTTTTTAGAAAGATTTTTCCTTTTTTTTTCCCGGGTTGGGGGGCAATGGGGCGATCTCGGCTCCCTGCAGCCTCCACCTCCTGGGTTCAAGCAGTTCTCCTGCCTCAGCCTTCCGAGTAGCTGGGACGACAGGCATGCGCCACCATGCCCAGCTAATTTTTGTATTTTTAGTAGAGATGGGGTTTCACCATGTTGACCAGGATGGTCTTGATCTCTTGACCTCGTGATCCACCCATCTCCGCCTCCCAAAGTGGTGGGCTTATAGGCGTGAGCCACCACGCCCGGCCATGTTTTCTTATCAGTTAGTTTGAAAACTAATATTCAGTTTAGTCTTTCAGAACTTTGAGTCACGAAACGTATCTTTTAAAAGCAGGGTTCATTTATTGAAATAAAATACTCTACAGTGATCTGGATCATTTTTTTCTTTAACATATAAACATTAGTACACACCTTTTCTGTTTGCATGCAGACATATGAATGTTTTTCAGAAGAGTTACACTGTACACACACAGTTCTACAGCTTTTTCATTCAGGCCTAACTAGCATGATGCTCTGTGAGCCATGATTGCAGGGACCTTGTTCTGGTCACTGATACTCATCAAAGGCTTAGATCAGTCCTTGGCATGTCGCTCAATACTCATTTGATGAGTAAAAATATATGTAAGAGTCATTCTTCTATGTCATTTCTAGAGACCTACTTTATTTTTCTTAGTCCCAAGTCATATATTTGAAAGCAAACTGTAGTTACAAGAAGTAAAGGATTACTATAATTCAGTTCTCAATATTGTTAGGCTGTTAAAGCCCCTCCTTGAAATCTGCCCCAAGCATTAATTTTTGAAATGGCAAATTGGAAAACCAGGAATCTTACGTGTTTTTGACATTGGACATGAGGAGAAACTTCTAGGTCACTTGCTATATACTCTCCTGAATATATTTAGATTCTATAAATGGTAACGAAATCTGCTTTAAAATATAACGAGGCACTATTCAGATTAAAAAATGTAATTTAAAAACATACAGTATGTTGGCTGGGTGCAGTGGCCCACACCTGTAATTACAGCACTTTGTGAGGCTGAGGCAGACATCACTTGAGTCCAGAAATTTGAGAGCAGCTTGGGCAACATGGCAAAAACCCTCTCTACCAAAAACGATACAAAAGTTAGCTGATGTGGTGGCATATACCTGTAGTCCCAGCTACTTGGGAGGTTGAGGTAGGAAGATCGCTTGAGCCCAGGAGTCAGAGGTTGCAGTGGGATCATGCCACTGCACTCCAGTGTACTCCTGGGTGACAGAGAGAGACTCTGTCTCCAAAAAAAAAAAAAAGCATAGTGTATTAAACAGATACCCCAAGTATATCCCAAGGAAGCTGTAAAATATAGGTATATGCTGAGGATATAATTTTGTTAAATTACATTGTATTTGATTATACATGAGGTCCATTTAGATTTTGGGTTGATTCATTCATCTGTGATTACTGAGCATTTGCCATGTGCCAGGCAATGAGTATTAGGCACCAGAGTTACCACAGTGAGTAAGTGAGACATGGGCCCCTTCTGCAAGATGTACCTAAAAGCGAGGTAAGGGTTCTGACATGCAAAGTTGAGGGTGCGACAAGGACGAGTAGCAGGAAGTTCCCCTGGCTTGGTGGGAGAGAAGGTCAGAGAAGGCCTCTTAGAGGGCTTAGTAATGTAAACAGAGGATTTTAGGTTGAAGGGAATGTTTGAAGTTTGGGGGCCCTTTTGAGGACCACCAAGAACTTCCTGTGCTGTAGGATATTGAGCAGGAGATAAAGCTAGAGAGATGCACAGGCCACCTTGCAGAGTTTGAACTTGGGGCAATGTGAAGCCATTGAAGGGTTTTAAACAACCCAAGTGGTACTTTCTTCTGTGCATTTTAGAAAGATCACTGGCTGCCCTGCACATCAAAGGGGAGAATGATTGGAGACAGGCAGAGTACTTGGAAGGAGGGAATTATAATCCAAGCCAAAGATGATGGAGAATGAATTAAGGTGGTGTAGTGGGACCAAGTCTAGAGCTATTTAGACATGAGAAATGACAGGGGAAAAAAAGATTGATTGGATGTAGAACAAGTTGAATGAGAATCAAGGACAACTCCAGATGTCAGGCTGGGGCAGCTAGGTAGGTGCTACTGCTGTATAAAGTCTTAAAAAAGATTAGAGACGGGGCTAGTTGTGGGGAGGAGTTCAGTTATAGACATGTTGAATTGCAAGGAGTTTTGATACTATAATTAAGGAATGTGCGGTAATAAATTTAATAAACAATGAACACACATTATTCAAATTTCCCAAACAATTTTTGGATGGCAGACCAAAAAGAATGAGAGTGAAAATAAGGGGTCTCTGACCATTCAGTTAAGATTGAGCCAAGGGCAAGGTCAAGTTCAAACCCACTATGAGCTTCCTGCCTCCATGGTCACTGACTGGTTTCTTAATGTTAGCTGTCCTATTGGACAGTGTAACAGTGAGAGGGCATATACACGTTAGTATTGAAAAAGATGAAGTGATGTGTAAGGGTTTTGAAAAAGTATTACACAAATGCAAGGCAGATATATTCAAATAAATGCTTATGACAAAATTTGAGGCCAGATAGGTTAGAGTAGTGCCTCCCAAACTACAGTGTGCACATGAATCACTCGGGGATCTTGTTCAAGAACAGATTTCAATTCTGTAGCTGGAGTTGGGTGGGATATAAAGAGTATCTGAGATCCTGCATTTCTAATAAGCTCCCAGGTAATGCTGAGTCTGTAAGTCCTTGAACCACACACTTTAAGTAGTGAAGGGTTAGAAAGCTTATACTGTAACTGAGAAAAATATATATATATTTCTTTCTCATGTTGTATTCAACATTTCTTGAATGAGTGTAGCTAAATGAGCAACTTGATGCAATACAAAATGTTATACAAGTATAAAGAGAGTTCACTAGGTACTTTAGAATAAATCGGCTTTACAAAGTTCTTAGACTTCCCTATGAAGAACAAAGAGCAGATGGGGGTTAAAGGAGGAGGGGGTAGAGTCTACCAATCTGAATATTTCGGCAAAGGAGAATGCATGAGTTTTACTATAAAACCACACTGAACATTACAACAATATGAAATTCCATACATATATAATAATCACTGAGCTATAAGGTTGCTGATTTGTTCGTTCTTAAAAGTAGAGTTACTTTATGCAGAATCAGCTAGTTTTATGTTTCATAATGTCTTTCCCTTTTTTGAACTTTTTTAAAGTCTAAAGTAGGGGGAACCAAGCCTGCTGGTGGTGATTTTGGAGAAGTCTTGAATTCGGCTGCAAATGCTAGTGCCACCACCACGGAGCCTCTTCCAGAACAGACACAGGAGAGCCTGTGAGATTCCTACCTTTGTTCTGCTAACCACTGCCAGATGCTGCAAGCAAGATCCAAGCACATCTTGTCAACATGCATTGCCATGAATTTCTACCAGATGTGCTTTTATTTAGCTTTACATATTCCTTTGACCAAATAGTTTGTGGGTTAAACAAAATGAAAATATCTTCACCTCTATTCTTGGGAAACACACCCTTTAGCGTATATTTACGTTCCTTTATTTAGGAAATACCATTATAAAAACAATTATAGTACCTGGGACACTCACTAGAATGATCTAAGATGCTGCAGATTGTCATAGTTGTTTTCCTGCTTTACAAAATTGCTCTAGATCTGGGATGCCAGTTTGGCCTTTGTCTTCTATAATATTTCCTTTTTTCCTTCTTTGAATCTCTGCGTATTTGATTCTTAACTAAAATTGTTTTCTTAAATATTCTGAATCCCGGTAATTAAAAGTTTGGGTTTATTTTCTTTACTCCAAGGGAAGAACTAGCAGCTACAAAAAATATTTTGGAATAAGCACTGTTTTGGTATAAGGTACATATTTTGGTTGAAGATACCAGACTGAAGTAAACAGCTGTATATCCAATTTATTATAGTTTTCTAAGTAACAATATGTAATCAGACTTCTAGGTGACTTGACAGTGGAACTTCGTACTCCTTATTTATGACCATTTGTGACAGTAACCATTTCGGTGTATTGTATATTATACCACTCATATCAACTTATTTTTTACCAGGTTAAAATTTTAATTTCTTCAAAATAACATTCTGAATCAAGCATACTGTATGATCAGTAGGTTGAACTATGAACACTCTCATCAATGTTCGGTTCGAAGCCTGAAGGTTTAGATCTAGAAGCTTGTAAAAATGACAATATCAATCACATTAGGGAAACCATTGTTGTCTTCATTTAATCCATTTAGCACTATATAAAATAAGCACACCAAGTTATATGACTAATATAACTTGAAAATTTTTTATACGGAGGGGTTGGTAATAACTCTTGAGGATGTAATGCATTAATAAAAATCAACTCTTCATTTTCTACTTATTTGTTTTCAATGTGTTGGAAATTGTAAAATGATAGCGTAGAACCCGTCCCCTACTTTGAAAACTGAATGTCAGGGCTGAGTGAATCAAAGTCTCTAGACATATTTGCATAGAGGCCAAGGTATTCCAGTCTAATAACTACTTATTCAACATTACCATCTTTTCCTTATACTGTATATGTTTATGGCCTACAATGTTATATTTGTTATTTATTAAGTTGTGATTGTTTTATTGTTGTTTATGCCAAATGTTAATTGCCAAGCTTGGAGTGACCTAAAGCATTTTTTGAAAGCATGGCTAGATTTACTTCAGTATAAATTACCTTATGAAAACCAAATTTTAAAAGCCACAAGTGTTGATTGTTATAAAATAACATGCTGTCATTCTTGATTGCTAGAGCTTTTGTTAGTACTTTGGATGCAATTAAAACTATGTGCTATCACATGTGAAAAGCTTAATAAATTCTGTCTATCAGTAGTATAGGTCTCAATATTTATTATGAGACCAGTGGTCTGGAAACAGCTTGTTGTATTACAGAATCAACTGGATTCTACACTTAAAAATAAAAAAAAAAAAAAAAAAAGATTTAAAAAAAAAAATCCCCTTTAAAATTTTTTTTAATGGTATCATATTAACATATTCTAAGTAAGGGCTTTAAGGCACAGGCTGTTGAAGCATTATCTCAGAGAAGTGAATCTGCAGAAGTCTGTCTTTCTGTAGAAATATTGTGCTTACTCAACATTAACTGTTAAATTATTTTTTCTACCAGTCTTTTTTTTTAAATTCAAACATATTCTTTTGATCACATTGTTTCTTGAGCATTCTATCCTGTTACTAATTTTTCAGCAAGCAAAATGGAGTAAAGTGGCAATTTCTTTAGTTGAGTAAAATACCCTCAAGTCTCTTTTCTGCCCAAACAGGGAAAAGTGAGAAATGGGAGTGGGAAGGCGGGTGAGTGGATGAAGGTGAGTACTGGGGATGGCTGTGAAAGAAGATATTTGAGAAGACTGTCACTTTTCTAGACATCTTCCTATGCTTAATCTAAAAAACAAAAAATCTACTGTAAAGTACTCTGCCCCTTAAAAGAAGTATTAAAAGGAGTGAGGATGGATTTAGGAAAAAAATAAGAATTTAGAAATACTCAAAAAGGTTGTTGTGGCAGATTCAATATTATGAATTCAGACACTTAGGGAATGAGAAACATAGTAATTAGTAGAATACGAGAAAGAGTTCCTGGTTCCTCTCTCATGTTTGACACTGTAAGAAAATAGCAAGAGAATGAAATCTCAGATACTTATGAACTCTCACAGATGTAAGGGCTCAAATGTAGAAGAAAATATCCCCCTCTTACAAAAAGAAATGTCAATTTATGGAGTTGGTGGGAAATAAAGCAAGAATTCTTATTATGAGAGCCAAGTAATCAGTGGAAGAGAATAGAACTCATAACTGGATTATCGCCTTAGCAACTTAGAGTCATTGAAATAGAAAAAAAAAAACCACATTTAATTTGGACTGTTTCTGGATTTGTTAACATATACACACTGTCTATTTTTTGTATAGTATTGGAAAATAATAAAAATTCTATAATTTGGGTATGGGTTCTTTTGTATACATTACCTGTCCGTTGAGGAAAGGGGCAAAGTCCATTATGCAACTTCTCTCCAAACCCTTCATGTTCTGGATGTGATACTTAGAGCCATGAGCAGCTACATTCTGGCTACCAGAAGGCATTTATTAAATGACTGCTTGCTGCATATGTGCCCAAAGAGATCCTACATAAGGTCATTTGTCAGAATGATGTTTTTGTTTAGAGTTGGCTGACCTCCAACTCCTGGGGTCAAGGAATCCTCCTGCCTCAGCTTCCCAAATAACTAGGAATACAGGCACGCACCCAGCCAGGTGTTTTTCTTACAGCTTTTAAAGCACAGATGAAAAATCACATTTTTGCCCATAGTGAGGAAACATTTGGCCATTGATTAGTCCTTATTTTCAGTGACTGTCCTATTTTCACTGAATTAGAGAGACCCTGTGTGGGCCACAGTTAATATAAAACATTATCACTTTTAAGTAAACCTGCACACCTTAGATTTCATAATTTTTTTTCTTTTGCTTTTTCGGAGCTGGAGTGTTTTAAGGTTTCATAATTTCTGTATTGTTCTGACTCAAAATGAACCAAGGGCTTTTCGCTTTTAGTAAGTCCTCAGAGGGTAGGGTCTGCATGTGCTATCACCTGCCAGGATTTTGTACTTAAATAAATGCTATTTGGCAACTAAAATTCTTGCTAGCTCTCATGTAGTTTCCATGTTACTTACTGAGGTTGGTTGGTAGTTTGATTATTTGGTGGGTTTTCTATCATATAGAAAAAGCCAAACACAATTTTGTTTGAACGTTTGTAAATGGACATGATCTTTCACTTGACTACTCTCTAATTCAACATGCTTTAAAGTTTCTCTTGGTTTCTAGAATTCTCTGTTCTTATTTTCCATTTTGACTATTTTTTTAGCATTAGAATTCTTCCAACTCCTTAAATGCTATTGCCTGTCTGTTGTCATCTTCTACATGATCCCCTTAATGATCTTATCATTTCTATGAGTGAAATAACTATTGTTAGAGTGATACTAATAGCTTCCCAACCTGCATCTCCAGACCTATTGATGGTGGTGGCCCACCTTGAGCAGCCGCTGTGAGGACACCAGCTGCAGGAAGGAAAGCATGGCTGGGGCTGCATGCTTTTGAGAGCCGGTAGGGACAGGGAACAGGTGATCCTAGCAGGAGCCCTGCCTTACCATGTCGGTAGGGCGGGAGCTTGTGTTCTTGAACACAGCTGCAGCCGCCTAGCCACAGCTCTGGACCCAGGCATCCCTGTGCCCTTGGGGGCCTGGGAAGCCCCCTGCCCCTACAAGCTTGGAAGTGCCTGCTCTTGCTCCCTGGCCTCTCCTTGCTCTCAGTGCCTGCTCCTGTGTGAAGCAAAGTTGTGGCTCAGCTTGGGTGCTGTCACAACCTGGGTGCATGCTCAGGGTGGCGCTGATGTGCCAGGTCCCTGCTACCTTGGCCCCCTCCAGACTTTGGGCACCAATGAGCATGGGAGGGTGGCCAGGGGGTGAGGGTAGCTTGGTGTGGACAACCTGGGTGCTGTGGATGAAGTGTTGATGGTGGCGGGAGGCAGGTTCCTGTTGAAACCCCACCTTCAAGCCAGGGACAGCCTGAAGCCTGGGGGCCAGGCTGCCAGTTTTAGGTAGAGCCCACAAGCCAGAGCGAGAACTCGACATATTAATGCATTGCAGCCAATTGGATGGTGCTTTTCCCAGGTCCACCCTTCCTCCATTCTAAGCACGTAAAAACTCCAGACTCAGCCAGATATGACAGTCATCAGGACAACCTGCCTGTAACAAGGACCACTTTGGGTCTCCTGAGTGCTGTTCTGTCATTCAATAAAGCTCTTCTCTGCCCTGCTCACCCTACAGTAACCTTATTCTTCCTGGATACAGGACAAGAATTCGGGACCTGCTGAATGGCAGGAGTGAAAGGAGCTGTAACATGTTCCTGGCTGCCTTGTCAAGGCTTCCCAGATTGCAGGAGAAAAGAGTGGTGACCCTTCTGGGGACCCAGACCTTGGGATTCCCAAAGCCAGAGCTGCTGTAACACTGTAGCCTTCCTGCCTATCACTGGCTCCAGGCAGCTGCCCCACATGACAGGAGGCAGCATGGCCAGGCCAGCTGAGGAGCCATGGGGTGGAGTGGGTTGTGGGACTGAAAAAGCTATAATACATTGGCTGAAACAACCCCCCACTATGTCCCCTCCAACTCCCTACCCCCAACTCTGGTCACCACGCTGCAGGCATGAGAAGAGCTGTGGCTCTTTTGGGAACCCACACCTTGGGTCTCCCTGAGCCAGGGCTGTGACATGCTGTAACACCCTCTTTGGGGCTCTGCGGTTCCTGGAATCTCTGAGCCTTTGGGTTTCACCCCGTTTCTCTTGCCTAGACACTGGTACCTGCAGCAGAAGCTACTTGTGGTCCACCTGGTCGAGCTACAGCCTTGCACAGAGCCGGTCCTATAGCCGCCCACCCTGCCACAGCGGCCAATGTGCCTGGCTGGGTGCAGTGGCTGAACCCTGCATTCACTTGCTCACTCATCCCTTACCAACCCATGCCTGGCTCGCCCTTGGCAGGCATGGGATCTGGGCGGGCAGCACAAGCTGAGTGCAGCCAGCCCAGAGAGTGGGCAGTAAGAAGCCCAGCAGGCACAAGCACAACTCCAGAGGCACTGCCAGCCATGGAAGTTTCCAACTGGTGAAGCGACACCCTGAGAACCCTGTGACACTATCCTTTCTTTTAGGTTTGCACACATGGTTGAGGCATGAATTTCTAGTAAATTCATGGTTACCTCCACCTAGCCACCAAAAGCTACTACTCATTAAGTGCCCATGCATTTTACACTCATTACCTTTAACTCTACTCAGGTGTGTGGCAGTGTCACCATTTTATCGATAAGACCATAGCCAATAGATGTAAAGTATTAGGCTTGAACTTAGCAGTAGACTGGAACTATTTTTTGTTCACTTTACTTGGCCTTTTTGAGATGGGGTCTAACTGTGTTGCCAAGGCTGGTGTTAAACTTCTGAGCTCAAGTGATGTTCCCACCGCAGCTTCCCAAGTAGACTAAAGGTGTGCACTGCTGCCCAGCTAGGCCTGTATATTTAGTAAGGCAAGGAGTGGTTAGAGCAGGATCAGAATCCTTAAGATGCCATATGTGAAAACATCATTATTACAGGGGATGCTACTCTTGGCACTTGTATAGGCAAGGAGAAAGTGTGCAGACATCCCCTTGTTGACTTGCTCAGTTCTTTACTCAGGCCCTCTCATTTGGTGCTTCTGATCCTCTACTAGACAGAATTAAGGCCAAACTTGAAGCCATCTGATACAAACTTAACGGTTTTTTTGAGACGGAGTCTCACTCTGTCGCCCAGGCTGGAGTGCAGTGGTGCAATCTTGGCTTACGGCAACCTCCGCCTCCCAGGTTCAAGTGATTCTCTTGCCCAAGTAGCTGGGATTACAGGCATTTGTCACCATGCTCAGCTAATTTTTGTATTTTTAGTAGAGACGGGGTTTTACCATGTTGGCCAGGCTGATCTCTACCTCAGGTGATCCGCCCCCTTTGGCCTTCCAAAGTTCTGGGATTACAGGTGTGAGCCACCACACCCGGTGTGTGTTTTTAAAGAGACCTGAGTTTTGCATTTTCCCCCATACTGAAATGAAGTGGAAGGGACATAGCTCACTGTAGCCTCAAACTCCTGGGCTCAAGTGATCCTCCCCCATCAGCCTCCCAAGTAGCTAGGACTACAGGCATGCACCAGGCTAATTTTTCAGTTTTTTTGTAGACACCAGTTCTTGCTATGGCCCAGGCTGTTCACAGACTCCTAACTTCAAGCAATCCTCCTTCCTTAGTCTCACAAAGTGCTGGGATTACAAGTGTGAGCCACCCTGCCCAGTCAGACTGAGGGTTCTTGAAGGCCACTGGCCATGCTCTTTACAATTTACCACACTTTCTCCGGAAAAAAAGTAGTAGTAGTAACATCCATTGAGAATAATGCTAAACTGCTCTAGGCAAGAGTCTACAGGTATTGATTGATTTACCACCTATGCAACTTACGACCATTCGACTTTACTACCGCAATCGCCTTTACTACCACAACCGCTAGCCACGACTGCTCCGCGTCTGGCAGCGGCGTACGACAGTGCGGACCAGCTTCCGGCAGCACTACCATCTCCGCGTGCACCATTTCAACTGTACATATAGGCTACTCAACTTACGGCCAAATCGTGTTACGACCGGCCCGCGGTCCCGACCGTGGTCCTAAGTCGAGCACTAGCTGTATTAACAGTCTCGGGAGATAAACAGTTTTAACTGTCAAGAGGGAGAACCCACCTGGAGAATTTATTGTAGGCCCCTTAACTACACTTCTAAGGACTACCATACAGTTAGCTAGTAATAATTTTATGTGATTCATACGATTGTGCACCCTTCGGAGATCAGTGTATTTCGTGTTCTTACAGTGTCCGTACCATTAGAGAGCATAAGCAAAGCTTAAAATCCATAGTCAAGGCATTCTTAAAATAGGGTCTGTGATCATAAACATTATTTCTCTTGAAGTACTTGCAAATGAACTGGAAATGTGTGTGCCACCAAAATAAAACTGTGGATTAATATTAAACTTCTGGGTCAAAGATAGACGGACAGTTAATAAACACTTCCTCAAGAATGGTGTTAGGCTCAGTTTTGAACAGGGTGGGTAAATTTTGGGAATTAACACTGCAGGAGAAAAGGGAAAGAAAATCCAGAGTGAGGGTGGGGGCATATGGTGGTACAATACTGACACATATTCCAAAACTTCTGAACTCCTAGGAGAAGTTAGATAATAGGTATCTAGAGGTGCCAAAACGCCTCAGAAAAACTGCTATTTTGGTAGCGTGAGTGGACTGGCCGCAGAAGTGGCAACGGACAAACTTGGATTCAGGGTTTTGGAAATGTTTTGTAAGCCCCACTCTGTGCCCAGTGCCAAAAATCTCACAGCAAAGTTCCACCTTTCAAAGTTTAAAAAGTTGGGAGTAGACCCTAAATATTATTAAGTATATAAATATGTGGCATATTAGAAAGTGCTACATGGTACTGAAAAAAACAGAGGTGCCAGAGTCAGCCTCCGGGCTTCTAATTCTAAATAGGGCAATCAAGGAGACCCTCATATTTGAGTGAAGACCCCAAACTCGAGTGCTAGCAGCTAGGCGGCCATGTAGGCGGGATGCCCGGGCGGGAGAACAGCGAACGTTGAATTAACAGAATTTACTGTAGAATGTGGACCAAAGGATGCCCAGGAAGGCGAAATTCCTGCAAGTTAAACGCACTTCCAAGGCAAAACTTACCGGGCCCCTTTGCAACTCTTTAGCCCATCAACTTTAGCGTCTCTCCAGGCCCACACCACTCCAAGACACAAGGCACACCACGTCCCGCTGGCCGTCTGAGCTCCTCCGCCGGTGGGCGGACCTCACGTCGCTCCGCCTCGTGACCCGCGCGCTGGCGGCGGGAGGTCAAAGGTCAGAAGTAAAGCAGTCATGGCGGCGCTGTGTCTGACCCGTGCTGTGGCTGCCGAGAGACATTTTCCGCGAATGTTTCTCTTCTTTAGGCCCTTTCGGGGCGTAGGGACTGACAGCGGATCCGAAAGTGGGAGCTCCGATGTCACGGAGCCTAAGACGCGCCTAGGCGGCTTCGCAAGCGCTTTGGAGCGGCACTTGGATGTACTGCAGAAGGCGGAGCCCCGGCAGGTGAGAGGGAGTCGCGGGAAATACGCCAACGACGCGGTGGGCGGGGCCGCGAGTCGGGGCGGAGCGTGGCGTAGCAGAGGGCTGGGAACCGTGGCCGAGACCCGGTTTTCTGGAGTTGTGGTGCGTTTGTGGCTCAGCCCTTGGCCCCTAGGATCCTTGCTTGGTGTTTTTCTTCCTTTTGTTGACCTATTATGTCGCATTTGCGTACTGGACCGGGTCTATCCACACTGCGCGCGTCTTACTTGGGCTGAATGCTGGTGGGAGGGTAACCAGCGGGGGGCGCTGCTAGGTAGGCGGTCTAGGGCGATTCCTGGGACGCTAAGGAGAATGAGACTCGCACGGAGAGGCAGGGCTCTGCTGAGTCTTGTTGTAAACAGTAGCTCTAGCTTCGAGCTTGCTGTCTGGAGTACAAGGCTCTTCATAAACATTTGTTAATTTAATGGCTGGGTGGTGAATGACTTTCTGAACTTGAAGTGTTACAACTTGTCAGCTCTTCGCCTCTCTTTTGTAAATGTCATTTTGTAAAAAGTAAAATAAAATCTCCATTTGTCTCAGCCAGTACTTTTGTAAAATACCATAAAGTTATAGGTAAATGAAATGGAATAAAATTACATGCCTAAATTTTTAATAATTAAACTCAGCAGACATAAAATTGGATTATATACAAATAAACTCTCAATTTCTGTATTTTTCTTCCTAGGGAGTAATACCAAACAGTTCACAAGACTGGCAGTGTCCTGAGTTATAGGGTCATTTTAGTAGCAATTACTGATGTCAAAATTTTTCTGAAATTCAAGGACTAGAAGAAGCCTTGTATATTAGTTTATTACTTTCTGTTGTAACACATTACTACAAATTTAGTGGCGTAAAACATCAGAAATGTGTTCTTAGGGCTGCGAGAAGTCAGATGGGCTCTCACTGGTCTAAAATCAAGGTGTTGGTGAAGTTGTGTTCTTTTCTATAGCTAGTGGGAGAATCTCTTCCTTGCCTGTTAGCATCTCTTCTGCTTCTGTCTTCTGCTTTTTTTCTTTTTTGGGTTTTTTGGTTTGTTTTGTTGTAGTTTTTTGAGACAGGGTCTTGCTCTGTCTGAAGTGCAGTGGCATGATCTCAGCTCACTGAAGGCTGAATCTCCTGGGCTCAAGTAATCCTCTTTATAGCTGGGACTACAGCTAAGTTTGCCTTGGCCTCCCAAAGTGCTGGGATTACAGATGTGAGCCACGGGGCCAGGCCCCTCATCTTCTGCTTTTGAGATCTCTGTGATTACATTGGCCTCTCCAGATAATCCAAGATAATCTATATTTTAAGATCAGCTGGGCCAGGCATGGTGGCTCACGCCTGTAATCCCAGCACTTTGGGAGGCCAGGAGGTCAGGAGTTTGAGGTCAGGAGTTTGAGACCAGCCTGAGGTCAGGAGTTTGACACCAGCCTGGCCAACATGGTGAAACCCTGTCTCTACTAAAAATACAAAAATTAGCCGAGTGTGGTGGTGGCATGTGCCTGTAGTCCCAGCTACTCAGGAGGCTGAAGCAGGAGTATTGCTTGAACCCTGGAGGTGGAGGTTGCAGTGAGCTGAGATGGTGCCACTGCACTCCAGCCTGGGTGACAAGAGTGAGACTCCATCTCAAAAAAAAAAAAAAAAAAAAGATTAGCAGATTAGCAATCTTAATTCCACCTGCAGGTTAATTCTCCTTTGCCATGGAAGGTAACATTCATAAATTCTAGAGATTAGGATGTGGATGTCTTTGTAGGGGGAGGGGTCATTATTCTTTCTACTGTATCTGGAGAAGTCATAAACTACTAGCAGAATAGCTATGACTGACGTGAAGGGATGGATTTTAGATCTATATCCTTAAGGTATGGCCTTAAGAGTTAAGTGCAGTAAAGTTGAAACATAAGAGTTCAGTGCTTGGCTCCAAATATTTGTATGGTAAAGGAATTTTTCTATTTCTCACCTAACATTTGTCACTCACGCTCCACTCCCACTCACACCACATTCTAAGCTCCTTTGGAAACCCCCATAAAATAATTCTCAATTGCTGAGTTAATTGCGGTAAGCGTGAAAATTGTAGCATCACATGTATAGTTAAGTGTTTGAAACTGAAAGTGTAATGCTTGTTTAATGAAGGAAACAACCCAGGTGTTTGAGAGTCCCCAGAATTTCTTTTTCTTTTCTTTCCAAGGCAGATCTAATTGGGCTGTTCAGTTTTTCCAAGAGGAGGCTGGGGCGTTTGCTGGCAGTCCCAGCACATCTGTTAGATTTTCTGTCCAGCTCAGGTTCAGCAGCATTTATTGGCACCCTGCATGGTGGTTCTTCATCTAACACAGTTTAGAAAACATTATTCTACTAGATAGTGGGTAAATGTGTTTGGTTGTGATACATAGGTCACCAATTTCTTATTCACAAATCTTTGGCATCTTGGTTTAATGGAAAGAAAATTCCCTGGGGAGGAGAGTATCAGGAGGCTGTGTTGTAGTCTCCATTCAGCAAGTTCTTAGCTTTGAAGCATTTCAAGTTACATAGACTCCTTTACTACCTTTTTTTTTTTTTTTTGAGACAGAGTCTAGCTTTTTCGCCAGGCACCAAGCTGGAGTCCAGTGGTGCGATCTCGGCTCACTGCAACCTCCGCCTCCTGGGTTCAAGCAGTTCTCCTGCCTCAGCCTCCCAAGTAGCCGGGACCACAGGCATACGCCACCATGCCCAGCTAATTTTTGTATTTTGGTAGAGCTGGGGTTTCACCATGTTGGTCAGGATGGGCTTGATTTCTTGATCTCGTGATCCGCCCACCTCGGCCTCCCAAAGTGCTAGGGCTACAGGTGTGAGCCACCACACCTGGCCACTGCTTCTTAATTGATACCACTGACTTCACTTGCCCCCGGTTCAGGTCATTACACACAGTATGGACCAAATTGTCTTCCTAAAGTTGGGCTCTATAATCAGACTTAATGAGGTTATTTATTTATTCCTCTCCTTGAGAATCTTCTAAACCTCCATTCACACTTCTAAACGTCCATTAAATATACAATGGTATATTTAATCTCTCTACTATGCCACATCTGTCTGCTATGGCTTCAGAGGTCTACCGCCATTCAAGACCCTGCCTGGTGCAGAGGTTAAAAGCTTAGGCTCCGTTCAGGCTGCCAGCTTCTGCCATCTTTCTAACTGAGTGACTTTGGACAACTTACTTAGCCTGTCTGAATTGGCTGTCTTATCTCAAAGTGGAGATGATGCTCCAACTGGAGTTATTGGGAAGTTTACGTGAAATTATTTAAGGTACTGTCAGTACATTGACTGGTACAGAATATGCTTTATTCAGTGCAGTTTAGCTTTTATGTGGCAGTTTAGCTTTTATGTGGCCCCAGGCATTTCTTCTTCAGCCTTCTGCCTTCCTGAGAATAGTTACACAGAGATGCTTCCACAATTGCACAGTTCTTTAAAGTCCCACTATTTTCTTGAACAATAATAAACTTAATTTATCAAACCATGTAGATTCATCTCTTGTAACAGATGTACCACTCTCGTGGGGGATGTTGGTAATGGGGGAAGCTATGCATGTGTCTGGGCGGGAGGGATATGGGATATGTCTGTACTGTACTCTCAGTTTTGTGTAAACCTAAAAGTGCTCTAAAAAAATAAAAGTTTTTTTTGTTAATGAATGAATATGAAATGCTATTTAAAAACGTAAGGAGGTATATCCCTAACTAGAGGTTGAGCTGTGCCATTCAAAGAGACAATAAAATCCAAGTTTTTCATGGCAAAAAGCCCAAAACCAAACAACAAAAAAATAAACACCAGAAAACAACCATGCACACACCATTCTATTTAATTCCAATTTAAGGACATTGGTAATCACTAATATTTAGTTAACTTGTGGTGCCAGAGTAACATGTGACACATCAGAATAAAGTTTTTCCTTTTTTCTTCAGTAGAATATGTTTCAGGAGGGCAGAGACCTTCTTTCTTATTTTGTTGTATTCCCAGTGCCTGGCACAGTGCTTGACCCATAGTGGGCACTCGGTAAATATTTGCCAAATGTGTGGATGAATGAATAGCATGTGTAGTGCTTATTTGGACTTCAGTTACACCTGGCTTGTCTTTGAATTGTAATATATGTGTGACTGTTTACAAACTGTCTGCACATGTGAGAATAGTACAAGCTCAAGCATGTTAGTTAAATGTGCCTGTCCAGAATAACTCAGTAAAAATAATTTTAAGAGTAGTAAGAAACTGAAAATACCATATTAGTTTTAGTTTTAGTATTTATTAGAAGTTTTCAGTGCTTTTCTAACATTTATGATAAGGAATATGAGCAGTTGTGTGTTGATAGGCATTCAACTTGTGAAAAAACTTACTTCACCTCTTTTGAAGTTACTGGACCTATTTAATTGAAGAGTATCCTGAGATTACAAGATGATTAAATGCCAATTGTGTATTCAGGATTTTTTTTTAAAAGTTGTTTACACATTTTATAAAAGTAGTATTTGGTTATTTTAGATTTAAATAGCCCTGAAAGTTATGTGAAATATAAAAGTCCTTTTTTCTTACTTTCTCAAGGCCGGAGTGTGTTTTTTATGCATAGCTACAGAGTTTTATATTACACACATATAAGTATAAGCTAAGTGTTGTTATATAGTATGAATACTGTCTTAAACTATATTACAGTTTAAGAGTGTAAATTCTGCAATCTGGTTTAAATCCTGGTTCCCCTACCATTTACTAGCTGTGTTTCCTTGGAAAATTACTTAATATCTATGTATCTCCTTTTCCTTTTTTATAAAAGGAAACCCTATGTCATGGGATTTTTATGAGATCAAATGAATTCATTACTTAAAACACTTAACACAGGTGCCTGATACTTAATAAGCACTTAGTATGTTTTAGTTGCTACTGATAAAAATTGCCATTTTTACCTAAGTATGACTATTTTTCCTTATCATTACATAATACTTGCTTGGTATTCCATGGTATGGATGTAGCATAATTTATTTAAGCAGGAAACCCTT